TAGAAGAGGCTCCCGAGAACACGCGAGCAAAATGTCATACCATAGCACGCGGCCTGGAATTCACAATAAATTATCAAAGTCCGCTCAAAATTGCTTTCTCTTCCCTCTAAAAATGACAGAAGACGCTCAAAAATCACACGTAGATTGCCCATCTGTCAGCCATTGGCTGATTTGAAGATGGCGCGCTCGGTCGTATAGAGATCGGTAGAGATTGCCGTGGGAGGCCGTCACGTGTCCACGCGTGCGCGCGCGATTGCACTAAAAAACCGCGTATTCGAAGAAAAAAAAAGTAAAAAAGCTCAAGGTCAAGCTCAAAGCTCAAGCTCAAGGCGCGCGTGACGTTTTTTTGTTTGCCCCTCCCATCCCTCCCTGCTTAGCTTCCAGCGCATTCGTCGGAACGAGAGAAGAGAGAATGCGATTGCAGCGTGTGACAAATTTTTGTAACTCCACTCGTACTGGACAGATACTTGAAATTTTTGTGGCGTCCAAGTTGTGAGGCAATAAGCTCTTCCAGTGAATTAATCCCATGGTTAACCAAAAAAGTGTTTCAGGGCCCCTTTAAACGCTGGGCATAAACGTCATTCTACGTAATCAATTGTCTGCGATATCTGTTTTCGAATTGATTTTCTTTAGTCCGGGAAGATAGACTCCTGCTCAAAGGTTAAGTGTTCGTATAACACGTACAGTAACTCTATATGAGACCGCCACACCTGCTGACGTGGTTCGAATGGAAAGGGTATATAACTAAGCCCTCCTCTTTTTACGGTTGGTGTTTGTTATGCCTGGCCACTAGACTTACTCAGTGAGACAAACTATGAAGCCTGAAGAAACAATCGATGCCTGCTCTACCAGCATTTTTATGATTAGTTTTGCCACGATTGGCGAAGTTCAACTTATACAAAACAACTTGACTTTTTATTTCATAGATACCACCAAAAAAAATGCCTGTGAGGTTTATGATTTATGAAAAATATTTTGTTTGAAGCACTGGGCTGCCAAAAAAGTAAGCAAGCACGAGTACATATACGACACAATATTCACCTACTAATGCGCAATATGTAGTCGTTGGCAATTAGCGTCTAAAAGAAAAAAAAAGCCAGTTTCTATGAAACAGGGCCGCAGAAAAATTACCTAAATTCACTGCTGCTTTCAATGTCCCCTAATAAAGGCAAAAAATTTTCTCTTCACCGCATCCTAGAAATATGTTATGCCGCTGTGGTGACGAGTGGTGATTGGATGATTGGTTATTTTGATTGGAGTTTTCACGTTTGCTCAGATTTTTTTTAATTCTTGCCCAAGAAAGGAGATTCCGAACATTTTTGTACGTGCATGGTTGCTTTTCATGGGAAGCCTGCAGTAACTGACCTGTGAGGCTGGTGGAATTAGCTAAACTCGCCTCGCAACAGCTGACAAGCCACAGACAAAGCTGAGCAGGGTTATGAGAAGAGAGAGAGAACGAGAAAAGTGGAAGGCAGGGAGTAACCAGATGCTAGATCCGGTATCTAGCCTACACTTGGGTTGGGGAAATGGGGAGAAAGAGAAAGGGAGAGTTAAAAATAAATAAAAGAAAAACACCGACACACACGTACACACAAAATCAGTCCACTCAGAGGCGTTCCGACTGGCCAGTAGTTCGTAAGAAGCCCAGTAGCGCTTGCACGGCTTTCTTCTGTGACGATGAGTCATGACGATGGCGCAGTATACTTTCTTCTGACAGCGGCTGGTCATCTAACCTGTTTAGTTTATTAGAAAGGTGTTGTCTTTCCAGGTTGTATTTCGGGCAGTCACACAGGATATGTCGAATTGTTTCTTCGTCTCCGCAGTGTGCACAGTCGGCGGTGTCGGCCATACCTATGCGGAAGGCGTACGCACGGGTAAACGCGACTCCCAACCATAGTCTGCACAGAGCAGTAGCGTCGCCTCGTCGAATTTTTGTTGGAAGCTGCATGCTTAACGTTGGATCAAGGGATCGTAATCTTGCATGCGTAAAGAGAGGCTCATTCCAAAGAGCCATGGAGAGTTGGCGAGCCAGAATGCGGAGCCTCCTAGCAGCGTCCGTCCTTGAGAGTGGTATTGACTGGTCGTTGTCTTCTGTATGGGCTGATCGGGCAGCTTGATCAGCTTGTTCGTTACCGATAATTCCACAGTGGCTTGGCAACCACTGAAATATAACGTGGTGCCCTTTCTCTGTTATATGGTGTAGCATTTCTGCTGTTTCAAATACCAACTGTTCGTGTGGACCACGGCGTAGATTTGACAGAAGTGACTGCAGTGCCACCTTGCAGTCGCAGAAAATCGTCTACCATTGCCTGCTTTGGTCGTTAATGAAACGCAGCGCAGCGCGAAGCGCTGCAAGCTCTGTTGCCGTTGTTGTGGTTGCATGAGCTGTCCTGAATTATGAGAATTATGAGAATTATGAGAATTATGGTTATGAGAAGGCATGGAGGTAGTTAGTAAGATGAAAAGAGAGGATCTTTTGCGCATTGAAGCGTTGCTAAGCGTCTGCGGCAGTCATTAATTTACGACCACCGCCACTTCCAGCTGTACATTACGCCCATCCCCACCCCGTCCCCAACTCATTGTGATAGGAGATAAGACTGGTGGGCGTCATAAATAGGCCCTATTTTTGGACACTATCAGCAAAAGGCATTTACGCGAAAATGTCGCTTTTTTTTTTTTGCAATGCACGGCTGGAAAGCTAGATTGCTCGAGTGCGCGTTGTTAACTGTTGAAGTCTTGGTTCCACAGAGTGCCGAGTGAGACGGCACCGAGAGGGGTTTGCGCATGGAGGAAAGGAATCTTAGTATTCGTGCGAAGCTAACTGGCTAGGTGGACGCACGAAACCGTGTGCACGAGAATCACCATGTCGACAAGTCTCTTCAACGAAGGTTTTGTGGGCGCTCCTGTGATCTCCTCTCTGGCGTTGTAGATATGCGTGACCCTTTCAAAAAGCGCTGCTGAAGCTAGAACACCAGCCTTTGTATTCCCGTACAAGTCTATCTCTCTTTCCCTCGCAAGGGTTCGCCAGGAACAGCCAATACAAAACTTGTGACGTGGGGGGTGGTTGTTTGTTTACCCGAATGACGAAGGTATATCCAGTATGCCGTAGGGCGACGCGTGATTCGAAATTAGTTTTGACTACGTTCTGGGCGACAATATTTGTTTACATTTCGTAGATGATGTGTGTATCTACAAAATCTGTTTGACGGGTTATTTCGCTTTCAAAATTTTGTTTTAACACTTCTTTTAAGGGAACGAAAGGGGGATGGAGTATAGGGCTGGTATGTAGATAAAAAGGGGTCTCACGAACAAACGAGACTCAAGCACTGCGCTCCACCCTATACCACCCACCCGCACCTCCACGCGTCTTACAAGAATGGAGTCTTTAAAAATGGAAACAAAGAAAAAAAGCGCATGTAGTTCCTATATTCAATGTCCTTTTTTGTATTCGTTGCGTTGTAGCAGTTGCATTATAAGTCGCTCAGCAGTGTCCCCTCATGGGAGACTAATCAGCGCCTTTCTCGCGTGTTTCATGAATCAATACATGCCATTGTGACCTACATAAATTGCCCACATGTCTGTTACTCAGAAGAAAAAAAGCAGTACATTACACACAAAGACCACGAGCTCCACTTACCCCTACTTGCTCGTTGAAAAGAGGATCCTCCATTATTCATTCATTTAATAGTAGCCTTAAGGCCGGAAGGCATCACAGAGGCAAGTGGTACATTTGATAATGAATAAAATATTAACAGTTACTTGGAAGTAAGAACAATACAAAGTGTAAGTTACGAAGAAAAAAAAACCTAGCAGATATAACAGCATCGCTGTGAGAGTAAAAATAAATGAAATTTCTTGTGATACAGTGTTAGCTACGTGAACAAACGGGCCGTGCTGAAAGGACTTACATTCAATGTGTATGCTGGAAAACAAATCATTTACGGAGCGTTTGCCGGTCCTCTTACATCTCCATGCTGTTGTCTGTGGCATCACTGTTAAAAGTACTGAATTTCAGCTAAACAAGCAGAGAAAACACAGTAAAGTAGTTCTATTTTTTTTTTTGTGCTGTTGGTTTCCACGCCACCGGCGACGAAAAGTGGCCGTGCGCCGCCGCCGATCATTTTGCCCGGCGTGCACTGACGACGCCGCCGACTCGGAACGACCTCCACGCCGCCGCCGGCCGAAACCGCCTCGGCGCCCACCTCTACAAGCTGGTACAAGCGCCGCTGAAGGAGCCCGCGCATAGAGTTTCCCACAATACTTACTAGAGGGAACTCTGGCGCTAGTGTCTATGGGAGGGCTTGAAGCTGTTTTCTCACGAAACAAAACTCAGCAAATATTCAGCGATTGCGCTTCACCGCCCTATTTTTTTCATATTACCTTTCAAAATTGGTTCACGAAGTTCAAAAGGATTGAATTTTTCCTTCAAAACAAAATCGAAACGCAGCAATAAACGAAGCCGCAAGTACGATTCGCCGCCCGCAAGTACGAAGACAAGGCAAATGGGTGTACTACCCATTATTCCCATGGTCGCTGAACGATCGCAGCGCCAGAGTGCCCTCTAGTTAATTTTGAGAAACTGTATGAGCCCACGTAGACACTAGCGACAGATTCACCTCTAGGTATTATTGTATGAAACCCCATGCAAGCGGGGGACAAATAAGCCAATTGGCGACGCTCTTACACCCTCCGCTTAGGTGCTGCAGGTGTGCCGGCACGTGCACAGCGGCTAGCACATGGAACGCCCCTACGCGCGTTTCGCCAAAATCAATTCAAATCGACTGCAAACTAACGGCGCAGTAGACGCAGCGTGGCCACAGAACACCTACCACGTGACCCCAGCCTAACTCGATTTCACGACTCGTTTCTAACGATATGACGATTGTTATAGCGCGATAACAGAGCGACGGTGTTCTGTGGCGACGTCATGTCATACCTACTAGCCCAAGCTGCCACACTTACAAAGTTTGTGTCTTACTTTTGATTTCAGTGTCAGGCCTCGCCCAAACGGGTGCGGCCAGCCAAAAATGAGCCTATAAGCTCATTGGAGTGCCCCACTCCACGGTAATATTTAGTAAAGGGCGAAATATTAATTCGTAGAACATGAGGCGAGACCTGAGCAATGATCATCATCATCATCACCAGCCTGACTACGTCCACTGCAGGACAAAGGCCTCTCCCATGTTCCGCCTGTTAACCCCGTCCCATGCTTGTAGCTGCCAATTCATACCCGCAAACTTCTTAATCTCACCTGCCCACCTAACCTTCTGTCTCCCCCTAACCCGCTTTCCTTTTTTGGGAATCCAGTTAGTTACCCTTAACGACCAGCGGTTATCCTGTCTACGCGCTACATGCCCGGCCCATGTCCATTTCTTCTTGATTTCAGCTATGATATCCTTAACCCCCGTTTGTTCCCTAATCCTCTCTGCTCTCTTCTTGTCTCTTAAGGTTACACCTACAATTTTTCATTCCATTGCTCGCTGCGTCGTCCTCAATTTAAGCTGAACCCTCTTTGTAAGTCTCCAGGTTTCTGCTCCATAGCTAAGTACCGGCAAGATACAGCTGTTAAATACCTTGCTCTTGAAGGATAGTGGCAATCTACCTGTCATAATTTGAGGGTGCTTGCCAAATGTGCTCCACCCCATTCTTATTCTTCTAATTACTTCAATCTCGTGGTTCGGCTCCACGGATATTACCTGCCTAAGTAGACATAGTCTTTCACAACTTGAAGTGCACTATTACCTATCTCGAAGCGCTGCTCTTTTCCGAGGTTGTTGTAGATTACTTTTGTTTTCTGCAGATTCATTTTAAGACCACCTTTCTGCTCTCCTTGGCTAACTCCGTAATCATGAGTTGCAATTCGTCCCCCGAGTTACTCAGCAACGCAATCTCATCGGCGAAGCGCGGGCTACTACGGTACTCTACATTAACTCTTATCCCTAACTGTTGCCATTCAAGGCTTCTGAAAACCTCCTGTAAGCACGCGGTAAATGTCATTGGGGAGATTGTGTCCCCCTGCCGCACACCCTCCTTGATTGGTATTCTGTTGCTTTTTTATGAAGCACTATGGTAGCAGTTGATCCCCTGTAGATTTCTTTCAGGATGTTTATATATACTTCATCGACGCCCTGATTCCACAGTACCTGCATGACGGCTGATATTTCTACTGAATCAAACGCCTTCTCATAATCTATGAAGGCTATGTATAGTGGTTGGTTATATTCTGAGCATTTATCTATTACCTGATTGATAGTATGAAGTTGGCCGATTGTTGAGTAGCCTGTTCGAAATCCTGCTTGTTCCTTTTCCTTTGGTTAATTGAATTCTAATGTTTTCTATACTCTGTTAGCAATTACCTTTGTAAATAGCTTGTATAAGCAATTACCTTTGTAAATAGCTTGTATACTACAGAGATCAAGCTAATCGGCCTGTAATTCTTCAAGTCCTTGTCATCTGTTTTCTTATGTATCAAGATGATGCTAGCGTTCTTCCAAGACTCTGGTACTCTTCCCGTCAGGAGACACCTCGTAAACAGGGTGGCTAGTTTTTCTAACACAATCTGTCCTCATATTTCAGCAGATCTGATGTTACCTGATTCTCACCAACAGCTTTGCCTATTTGCATGCTCTCCAAAGCTTTTCTGACTTTTTCTATCATTACTGGTGGGGTGTCATCTGGGTTACTGCTAGTTCTTATAGTATTAAAGTAGTGGTTGTCCCGGCTACTGTACAGATCTCTGTAAAACTCCTCCGCTATTCTAACTATCCTACCCATATTGGTAGTTATTTTGCCTTCTTTGTCCCTTAGTGGATACATCCGATTTTCGCCTATCCCAAGTTTCCTCTTCACTGCTTTGACGCTTCCTCCGTTTTTCAGAGCGTGTTCAATTCTCTCCATGTTAGACCTTCTTACATCGGATACCTTACGCCTATTAATCAACTTCGAAAGCTCCGCCAGTTCTATTTTGTCCGTTGTACTTGAGACTTTCATGATTTGACGCTTCTTAATGAGATTCTTCGTTTCCTGGGTAAGCTTGCCAGTGTCCTGTCTAACTACCCTGTCTCCAACTTCCACTGCACACATTGTAATGATACTCGTCAGATTATCATTCATTGTATCTATGCTAAGGTTGGTTTCCTCACTAAGAGCCGAGTACCTGTTCTGAAGCGAGACTCTGAATTCCTGCACTTTCCCTCTCAGTGCTAGCTCATTGATTGGCTTCTTGCGTATGAGTTTCTGTCGTTCCTTTCTCAAGTCTAGGCGAATTCGAGGCCGTACCATTCTATGGTCACTGCATCGTACCTAGCCAACCACTTCCACATCCTGCACGATGTCTGGGTGTGCACTCATTATAAAGTATCTTTCGTTCTTATTTTCACCATTAGGCCTCCTCCATGTCCACTTGCGGTTTCCTCGTTTTCGGTAGAAGGTATTCAAAATCCGTGAATTATTGCGTTCTGCGAATTCGACCAGTAGCTCTCCTCTGGCGTTTCTAGTACCGATGCCGTAATCTCCTACTGCCTGGTCTCCAGCCTGCTTCTTCCCTACCTTTGCATTAAAGTCTCCCATCAGTATTGTATACTGTGTTTTTACCTTACTCATTGCTGATTCCACGTCTTCATAGAACCTTTCAACTGAAGCGTCATCATGGCTGGATGTAGGCGCGTAAGCCTGTACCATCTTCATCTTGTATCTCTTATTCAGTTTAATTACGATATCTACCACCCTTTCATTAATGCTATAGTATTCCTCTATGTTGCCAGCTATGTTTCTGTGGATTAGGAACCCCGCTCCCTGTTCTCTTCTTTCAGCCAAGCCCCGATAGCAAAGGACGTGCCCATTCTGTCCTCCTAACCTCATTAAGCCCTATTATATCCCATTTAACACCCTCTAGCTCCTCGAATAGTACAGCTAGACTTCCTTCACTAGATAAGGTTCTAGCATAGAGAAAGGAAAAGACAAGAGAGGACACTCCGCGAAACCTGGCCTCAGGATGTTCGTCACGACTACGCAACGAACTAGTGCTCTCACCAAACGTTAGAGAGCGCAAGCGCAAAAAAAAACAGTTATAATCAATGCAACAGAATTGTTTTTACAAAATAATAATTATACGCCCAAATCTGGTATGTTCTTTATACATAAAAACAATTTATTCAACATACCTTACGCGATTATTTTTCTTCAGCCGTACTGTCATAAACACCATCTGGCAGCTAGGTCATAGGCTCGGTGGCTCGGTGCAAAATATTGAGAAGCGTTCGCTGGGCCTCGCATGCTTCACGACGTGTTTCCCGAAGGCTCGGAACACGAATAATTCTTGGTGTGCAGGAGGCAAATCTGGACTAGCCAAGTGGCCATCATCTTCGTTTCTTCGCTAGCCTTGTGCCACTAGTGTAAGCTGCCCACAAATTTTTTTGACGTTTCCAATATAATTTTACCGCACGAATTTCAACTACGATTTTTCTTCCCAATTTACTGCTGATACTGCGTACGCACGAAGGTGTTCTAAAGTTCCCAGGCCGCGATACCATTGCATTACAAGAGATAGCGGCCTGGAAACTTCTGAAGATCTTTGTACGTGGTCTTGACGTCTATCTTTGTAAGTCAGAGTTTTATGGGTCAGAGATGTATCACTGGTTTTGTATTGTGCATCGATTAGCTAATCATTCAAAGGGGTTTGCTGGTACACTTATGACGTGCACATATCTTTTTCGTAATTTGACAGCGAAGCATCCACTTACTAATATTTTCAGACCGCGCTGATGCCATGCCGTCCGGCGGTCCAAGCTACGGCAGCTACTGCTGTGTATTGTGGTGCTTCAACAATGGCAGAACCCACAAGAAGCCTGGGACGAGTTTCTTCCGCATACCACGGGACGGCAGGTGTGTTAAAGCTTTTGTATGGTTTGCATGTCTTTAGGCTTACTGTTCGTACTTGCTCAGTGAGGGTAACAATAAAAAATCACTATTCAAGCACTTCCCCTTTCAGCTGATAGTTCATTGCCAATGCAGGATGAAAGCATGGATGCAGTATGCTGGACGCGATGATCTCCTTAATAAGCCGGCCAGCCTATTGTACGCAACGTAGAGGGTTTGTAGTGCCCATTTTACTGCTCAAAGTTTCATGGACCCTGGGCACACAAGGCTTACAAGAATGGCTGTTCCCAGTGTGCAACCAGCTGCACCATGTAAGTGATTGACTGAAACTCAAATATGTGCAATAGCAGCCACTTGTATTGAATCAGTGGCGACGGTTAACAGCGAAGATCTTTGTAGCCGATGGAGAAACCTCACTATAGAAGTAACACTTGGAAAGTCTTAAATTTTGTGAATTGTGGGCTATTGCCTTCCTAACAGCAGCTTTACATTTCTGTCGTTTTTTGATGCTCTGGACCTGCGCAACTTGTTTTGAAAGACTTTAAAGGGCTATTTCACGTTATCTTCAAGCCTGAGTGCACATGTACGTATACTTTTCATCAGTGAAAGCTGGCACTGTTGATAATTCCAAAAATCACAAATTACTTGTTTCCTAGTTGGTGCCTTCTCTTTTCTTTCATGTTCGACGAATTTATGCGTTTTAAAGAGCTGTTTAAGTTTCCACATGCTACAAGCTTTGTAACTTGTACCAACTGCACATATATGCAGGTTTTCTGAGCGTCGCTTCAAGTAGTGACTGTGACATGGCTGCAGAAGCTGCACTGCAAGGTGCGGATGAGCTTCAGTTTGTGTTATTTTAAGCCTCTTACTGACACATTATCGTAATTTCATTTCTTCAGGACCTGCGGTAGAGGCTTCAAAAAGCGGCTCCTACACATTGAGGGGCCCCGATGAGCAGGGTGCGTTCAGTGTCGAGATTTCTTTTTTTTTTACCCAAATTGACTGTTGACCAAACCTTTGCAGGTGGCAGCTCCCTTGTAGCTGGTGAAAGAATTTCTGCTGACTTCGTTTTGCCAGAGAAAACCATAACCAGTCGTTCAGCTGTCACAAAAGGAACTTGTGTGACCGGTAAGTTGTATGTTCACTTCAACACCAGAGTGGATTGATATAAAGACTTCCGCAGGCCGCTCGCAAGATTGTTCCGACAGCACTGTCCGAGGCACTGAACAAGCTTCACAAGACCCTCCAGAAGACGTCTCCGCCAACAGCTCCACGCCTGAGTGCCCTAGAGAAAATGGTGACTATGCTTTTATTGCAGCTGTTTTTAATGTGCTTTTTGATGTTTAGGACATTCTGAGGAAACTATCCTCAAAAGGACACTCCGTGTGCACTTACAAAATGTAAGGGTGGGCTCTCAGTGATTTTCATTTTTTTTTGTGCATTGTCAACATTGTGAATGGTTTGTTTTTAGGTAGTGGAATCGAAAACTTTGCACCACAGAAAGTTGTGCACCTTGGGTCTGAAAGAGCGAGGAAAGTGCTCGTATGAGATTAGTTGTTCTTCGCTTTTACATCCATTTTTTTGTTTATTGCAGTGCGTTCCTGTGTGCCAGCAACAATGTCTCCATCAATGAAGTACAAGCAAACCATTAAACATCTGCAAGCCAAAGTAGCAGCACAGCGGAAAACTATCAAAAGACTGCGGAGACAGCCTCACCAAGCACCGTCATCGACTTCAAAGGCCCTTGGAGTTATCCGACCGCACGTCACCGAGGAGGTTTTTAAACTTATTTCTGCACATGTTCGCTTGAGGCCCAAACGCAAGGGCCTTTTTTGAAGTTAATGGTGAGCAGGTGTATTGCAGTTTTGATGTTCCGCATTTAATTAAAACAACGCACAATAATGTCCAAGCACACAAGTTATACATTGGGGATGACATCGTTAACTGGTCGCACATTGTAAGCCTTTACCAATCCTCACATGAGTTGCGGTTGCGATTGGCTCCAAAGTTGACTGAACGGCACGTTCATCAGAAACCTTTTTCTAATATGAAGGTCAGCAGAGCAACTCAGGTCCTCAGTGCATCAGTTTCGATTGCTATCACGGCAATGGTGTATGCGAAGGTGCTGCCTGCCTCGGCCATCACTACAGCTCAATTTTGTGATCGTATGGACAGGATTTTCGATGCCTTGAACAGCTCGAGTAAAAAAAGAACTTCGCAAAAGCTGCGGCATGCAATCATGAAAAATGATTCAGAGCTGATTGACTTCCTCCGAGGCCAGCTTCCTTGGATTTCATCATGACAGTTTGTTGGCAGACGTCAACCACAAACCATCGTAGGTTGGCAAATTACAATTCAGGCAATTTGTCAACTATGGGACGACCTCTCCAAAAATTACAATTTTGAATACCTGTTAACACGCAGGCTTCAACAGGATCCTCTGGAGAACATATTTGGCCACATTAGGCAAAAACAGGGTTGCAACACCAACCCCAATGTAGCACAATTTATTTGTGGCCTGAAGCACATCTGCATAAGAAAACTCTTCAAGCTGTCAGAATACGGAAATGTCGAGGATGATGAATGTGACCTCCTCCAGGAGCAGCTCTCGCCATTCTCCCTCACCAGTGCGTTTCTTGTGGATAATGAGGAGTGTGCACAGCCACAGCCTGACGACTTTCCCGCTCTAGACGATCTCTCTGAACTTGCGACCAACATTCACTCGCATATTATCGATGACTCCGCTGCATATTACGTAGCTGGTTTTCTCATCAAACACTTCCTTCGGAATGCATGTGACGGTTGCAGTTGCCCACAGTTACTGAAAGACGACAGTGAGACGCTTAAGGGTACCCACCAGCATTTCACAATGCTCAAAGCATACCACGTCCCCAGCAAACTTTTTGGGAACCTCACTGTGCCATCAGAAGCAGCTTTTGCATGCGTACAACAACTTGAATCTCACTTTCTTGCCATAATTAAGGCCACTGCACATCACCTGAAAGTGTGCGATGTTTTGTATCACCATCTGTCAAGTGTTGGCGATTTTCATTTCTGCTCTGCTGGGTGTCGCGCGAAGTTTCTGAAAATGTTTTGCTGGGTTCGTTTATGTTGGCATGTGCGTTTTGTGAACCGAAACTTAGATAGGGTTAGGTTCCAGTCTTCAATCTCAGGCATACAGCTTGACAAGTTCAAAGGTTAGCAATTAGCGGCGGGTTTACACTAAAGTATTCGAGTTGAGCCGAATCCTGTAATAGCTTTGTTATGTTATTACTTCGTTACAGCAGACTTCATTATGGTCTCATATGCTTATATTCAGTTCAACTGGACTCCTTCGTTGCATACATTGTTTTGGTTACCCGCTATGAGGAGTAGGGACACTGTGTATTCGCTCGAAGTGATTTGCATAACCTTAAAAAGAATGTTGGGTATCCTGTCCGTATTTTTGTAGCAAATGCGGGCGAACTGTACACTTTACTGTGGGTCGCTTGGTCACTGTGTATGCTTTATCTCTCCAGCTCAAGTAATATATCGATAAGAAAACCGCTTGTTGAAATGTCTTCGAGCGGGTAAAGAACACAGTATGAAGTGGGCACGGTTCACGTTATCACGCTTTTCGTATTTTAGCTTCTCATCAACCTCCTCATATCGCCCATCAAAATTTTCAAAAGAATACCCAAACTTGTAGCGTTTGATGGGGCTGCGGACGCTGCCATTTTATTTTTATATAGCTTGTGAGTGATAACGTACGATGTAGAGCCTTTGTGAAAAATAATGAGCCAAAGTGGTTTCCTTCTGCTATTTATTAGCCCTGTAATACCGCTCTCGTAGCACCAATTTAGGTCCACAATTCTGGATAAGTGATGACTACAATCTATTTCAGCTCGCAAGCGTCACAGCAACACTCAGACGCAAATCACTTGGGATCTTAAGTTTTTGATGAAGGCGACGCATAAGAAGAGCCACAAGACTTGCCAGTGTTGTAGCATAAATTTTGTCTTTCACGTAGTGAGCAAGCTGCAAAGCCCTACCTTTCTGAGGACAAGCAGGCATCAAGTCTGCTTTTTTTTTTAATTTTTGGCTAGCTGTTCTTAAGCACAGCCAGCACACTGCACCTTTGCCTTTCTGCTATATTGTGTCGTGTGGTTTCTGTGCGCTTTTTTTCTATGCATTATTTCGGTTAACCCCAGGCGTGATTCGCGACTTCATTGCTGTGTATATGTCACTTCTTCCTTCTTCATCAGCATTGTGCGCTGTGTTTTTGCCATAGATCCTTACTTACCCACTGGCCCGGTGTGTCATACTTCACCAGCTTCTCTGCTTCTGCCAACTCTAGCGATGTGTGCGTTGTCTGTGTTCTCTCTGTATTTGTTACAATTTATTTGTAAGGCGAGATGCATTTGTTGTCTACCTTTGTCATATTGTGCTTTTTATATTCTCAGACTCTACCTTGCCTTTGAATAAAACATTACGGATACTCTGTCTCTTTGACTGATATATACATTGATCACTCGTTCCAAAAGAAAAACACAAGCGCGATAAATAAAACCGTAGTGAATTATCATTACCTGCATCTCTTTTTATTATAACTTAATCGAAATAAAAAATTATGTCACGACCGATTCGCACGAACCACTGAACAAAACAAAACAGGGAATCGCTAAATCAAAACGACCTACAAAAACTATCTATTTGGGCGATGAAAAGTGGTCTAAAATCATGAACTTTCGTCATAGCCAAACGTCGGTTACGCAAAGTAATTCAAAATTTGCGCCAGTGAAACCGAAACAGAAAGCGCACACTACTTGCTCTCACCAACCACCAGGTGTGCTAAGGTCGATTGGGCCGCTGGGGTCTACGGGAGTGTGCACTCTTAACCTTTTTTTTATTTCTCTATGGTTCTAGCGTTAAACGTTGCCAAGTTCCGGTTCCAATGGCGGCCCGTTCGGATCCAGAGATTCCTAGCACCATCTGCTGCGTTGCATATCTGACCGCCGCCGTGGTTAGTTGCTTCGCAGCTGCTATGGGACTGCGGGCCATGAGTTATTTGAAGTATGCATGTGGGAGGCCAGATACTGCACCAGGGTTCCCAGCGGCGGCCACGGTTTCAAAAGTGCCACGTAGACACTCAGATCGGAAGCGCAGGGATGCATGGGAACTGCTGCTCCTGACTTCTTCATCGCCTCCAGCATGTTCGCCATTCACTACAGAGGCTGCATTCTATCCACATACCCAACCCGCGACGCTGCTTTGAGTGTCACGGCTGAGCAATGACAGCAAGCTGCTATTCATTCAGGCGCTTTCCAAACGGTTATAGCTTCCGTATGAACATGAATATTAATAACTCAAAACGTGAGTCTCTGCAGAGTTTATTTAAATGTACTTCTTAATTGATATACCTTATAGGTTGTCACCTGTCTGTTTAAGTACCAAAGAACGTTGAAAATTGTGTGCATTCCGCAAGGCTTGCATTTCTATACTGCGGAGCAGTTGCTATAGCCTCCGAGATGGTGAACGCACGACGTGTTTTTCTCCAGCATAAAGTTTTATGTTAAAATCAAACGCAAATTATATATAAACTAAACAACATAAATCAGCTATCAATATTTATATTGTTTAAGTTAGGATTTTTTATAAGATTCAAAATGTAAATAACTTTTTTTGCTGTCATCATCATCGTATCAAACAAAAATGGATGCGCCCAGTCGCGCAGCGCGAACCAATGTGCGAACCTATAGTGAACTGGAGTGTACTCTATTCTAGTACACTATAGTGCGAACGTACGAAAGCGCAGGCAATCCTGTGGCGATAAAGTTGCTCTCAAGCTGAAGAAGCAGTTCAGGTGCAATGCAGAAGCCAACAATCGGTAGTGATATCGGCCCGTCAAGACTGCACCTAACCTGTGCGTAGAAGAGTCGTGTACTTACACTTGTCCGCAAGTATGACTGGGAGCTCCGTGAGGTGGGCGTTTAACGTTCGCGTGTGGCAACCGACTCGAGAGCAGTGGCTGTATGCCCTGCGATGTGTTCAACCAGAGGAAAAAGAACGCATACAAAAGTTTGTTTTCACTAAGGACGCCAAAGCATCAATGGTTAGTGAAGTGTCACTACTAGAGAGTTTTCGAATAGGGGTCCCCAAAGCCTTTTGCGTATGCATGCTTTGGGTCAAGAAGGAGCAAAGCTTTACAATAGGGTCTGCAATGCTTTAGACACTCACCCAATTTTTGGTCATGTCACTGCAGTGGGTGCCATCACGTATGTCTGACGCAAAACTCTTGGGGCAGGTTTTGGGGCACCCGCTAAATTCGGAAAATAGCGTCCCCAACGCGGTTTGGGTTTTGAGCATGCGCAGTGGTCTTGACGCTATTTCTTTGGGACTCCAAACTTATGGGACCCCTATTCGAAAACTCCTTACTGACGCCCTGTACGAAACACTTTCACAAAATTAATTTATTGAAACGGCCGTCCCTTCTCAAATGCCTTTAGTAGAAATGACCGTAACATTGTCACCGCTGCCTGCACTCGGTCGTCCAGAGTTTTTCCAATGGCAATGGCACTGCTACTGAACTATCCGAACCAATTTGAATGTTCGTATTAATAATGAGGCATCTTTGGGTAGCCCGAAAGTCACTCGTTTGCCTAAAGCTTCCACACTCGGCCGTCATTATTTTGCAAAACAGTTTGGGCACACCTGGCGATATCCCAAACTCATGCTGTGGGATTGGCCTAGCACCGGCAAGTTAAAAAAAATTTAAATGTAAGTTATATTTTGTGTATTAAAAACGACGAAAACAAATGAATCAAAATGTAAGAAATGTTAGATGCATATAAATAGAAAAATGCAGAGAGAAGTGAAGGAGTGGCTAACTTTAATACTTTGGAAATGAGAAACTGACAGTTAAAGTTGGTTTGTTCTTCTCTAGATTGGCAGGCTTCTTCTCAGAAAATGCGTCAACGAACTTCGTGGTGTGCCCTACCAAGACATCAGCTTTGGCCGAAATGACCATAACAGACCCTTCGTATCGCAACCACAACTCACAGGTCAACTCTTCGACTTTAATGTCTCTCACCAAGGGGATTACGCAGTGCTGGCAGCTGACGACTGTTCCAGTGTTGGCGTTGACGTCATGAAAACAGAGTATTCCGGTAAACAACCACTCTGTGCATTAGTGTGAACAATTCCCTCCAACTGACGAAAGCAGTTGATGACCAAGCACCTTTCACTGCAGGTGGCAAAACAATACAAGAGTTTTTTGCAATCATGAAGAGGCAGTTCACTCCAAAAGAATGGAGCTTCATCGAACAGCCAGGCACCGAGAGTGACCTGCTGAGACGTTTTTATCGGCTTTGGGCAAGTGAATGTTTCTGCTGCGAAAGCCACTGAGAAGAGTGTTACAAAACCTTTTTCTCTTTCAGTGCTTGAAGGAGAGCTTTGTCAAGGCTACAGGAGCAGGACTGACTGTCGATCTGCAGCGATTGGAATTCACTTGCTTAACAAAAGAACTTGAGCAGGACACAATCACGAGTGACACGCAGCTGTGTTTTGATGGCCAACTGCTTAGAGACTGGATATTTGAAGAGACAATGCTGGATTATGAACACTGTGTCTGCACAGCTCTCAAGGTGATTCCTACATTGCATCCATCATTTTGTCCTAGCAGTATGAATATTGCAAACGTTCATTGTATGAATAACATTCATGAGGAATACGGTGTCCATAGGGTCATGGTGCATGTTTTATGGGTTACACGAAATAAAATGAAAAAAAAAAAGGATATACAAACACTCCACCGAATAATGTGGTGGCACAATTTTGTAGAGTCACGCCCTTTTTTAAGAGGCACCGATCTAACAAATATTTAGGTATAACACCAGTATGCCCACATTAAAATGGAGGTGGATAAGAAAATGCATAAGTAGCACCCTGCTTCTAAAGGACACCTCATATAAATGACTAGGATTGCTGCCAGGTGCAGGTCTCTTGTAGTAAAGCGGTTCAACTGTTCACGTGATCATATTCACGTGTTGATTTAATGACCAATTCAAACATTACGAGCCGTAGAACCTTTCTCTAGGTCCATATCCCGACTGGCATGGGCCGATCCGCCGCAGCGCAGTTCGTGGTGCATTGTCACTCCTGTGCACACACCTTCTTATCATACCGCAGAAACTTCGAAGCTAGGAAGGCTGGAGAGATGCATCTCACTGCTTGCATTTATGAACGAACCATACCTTGTCACATGGTGGAGATATGCATCCTCTTTGTCTATATAACTTTAAGGTCCAGAACTTGTTATAAAATCAGACATAATTTGGTAGAAGAAATGCCACTCAGGAATGCAGAATAAATGCATTGCATACTGGAAGCACAAAGATGTACAACAAATATGCGAGATGCCCAACTTGTGTGCACAGGTAGTTTTTATGTAGCAGTGGTTATGCCACGTAGGGTATTGTCGCACATGCATAACGAGTAGAATGTAGAATTCAGTGCTCTGAATTATCTCAGCTTATTGCACAGTTACAAATGAGCTACAGCAATGCAATTCTTTTTTCGATTACATGCAACTTAGTTCCATGTTAGCATAAACAGATGGCTACTGAGAGAATATTTTTTTAAATCTTGCACACCTACTATTCACAAATTCTACAGGCAAAAATGAAATTTTAAGCCTTTAACCAACGTGCCCAGAAGAGAAAAAAAGAAACATTCTGTTGATCAGCTTAGGAACAGACTTGCAGCAAACGAATGGGGACCTGAGCTACACATTCTGCAGAAAGCTTATCGAATGCTCAGCAGTTTGTGAAAAGTATAATAGCTTGAACTTAGTGAACAAATAGAAATGCACAGCAACTTGAAGAAGTGTGTACTTATGCCGACCCAGATGGGAAAAAAAAATCACAGGCAGAGTACACACTCGGTATACACTTCACACTTAGGAGAAGCTGTACTTTCACAGGAAGTTATGCTAAAAAGAGTAATTACAGTAGAGCATAGCATATTGCTATCAAGCAGCGCACCGTATGTATGGGAAACCGCTGAAAGGTTGTGGAGTGCTTTGGCGTAACATTGAATTGGGTAGCCTTGCCATACAGCTTTTTTAAATGCTGTGTACCACTAGTACACATCTATGTGACTGACAACCAGAGGCCTAAAATAAGTACTATCCTGGGAGGAAGCCAAGAATTAGCCAAAAACTGTACAAACAGCAGTGTAAAAAATTATAGGTATACTAAACGGAGAAGACGAGAACAGTACATATTATAGGCGAGGCAAGAATCTTATGGACATTGTATTCAATGAAAGAGAAAGCGCATGGTTGGGTAATAATGAGAGATGCAACTGGTGGTACATAGATGAAAGTGCATTCCCAAAGTCGATCAAGCTGTTGCACATAAGTTCGTGTACGTAGGATTGGACACATTAGGAGGTGGCATGCCAGATTGGTGCCGTGGTGAGGTAGGAATCCTGGCAGACGTTATCAGTAATATGCAATAAGTACAATGTGTTTACAGGTTAGTAGCAAGATCACCCCACAAGATTGCAAGCTCTTCACCGTGCTGTCCTTCGACGAACTTACCAGCGGAAGTCATTCCATTTGGTCTATCAAATGACTCTGACTGGACCCACTTTGCAGAGAAGTCAGAATTTCCAAAGTGAAACACACAGTAGATGCCCAAACTGTTAAATATCCTGCACGCAGTTTATTTTTCCTTTGTGTAAATAAAAGCATATTCAGAAATTTTATAATCATCTCGACGCATCAGCCTGCCAGAGTGCTAGTCGAGCCGGCGTCAATTCGTAAAAAAAAGCTGTGTAAAAAACTTTCTGTTCAGTCTGCACTTTTTGTTCACCAGGTACTTAGAAAAGTGCAAACATTTTCCGACGAAACACAATACCATCACTCGGGAATGTCATTGCGCACTGGCCAAGCTGCTACAGTGGCGCACTCAAGTCTTCTTTGATCTTTCTATTAGATTTTATATCTGCTCCCTTCACAACATACACAAGCAAATATTAATACAATGATGCTGCCCCATTGTAATTTTTTACAGCATAATCAAGCACGACGCTACACGAACTAAAATGCCTGGCACGAAAAAGCATTATCGCAGCAAAAACAAACAAGTACTCTATTCATAATCACCCGATAAGTGACAAGGTCCATTCAACTCCTTTGAATGATAAGTGCATCGCTTGTACACACTGACCCTTGGTCAGGGCAGGCAGAAGTCAAAAGAAAAAGCACTATGGCGCCATTAGCCCTCCTTTGTTCTTCTAGATGTCCCACTGACTAGGCTTTCACTTATCTCTCTATGGGCAACTGCAGCAGAAACAAAGACGAGAGAAAAGGTTTCTCCAGAGAAAATGAGTACCCGCAAAAAGCTCCAAGTACACCGCTACAGGCGGCCCACAATGAACACGCCATCCCACAGTAAAATGTGTGTGACCTTGCAGTCCTTTGAACACAACAATAATTACCTTGGCAACTTGCATATGTTGTACATAGTACCTTAACAGTTTCACAAATGCACAGTAGCACGTATTTACATGAGCTAGACATGGCAAGCATGGCCAGCTACAGTAACATAACTACACATGCAATGAGCCACTGCTGGGCGCATGCGTTCGTGTCAACGCCTATCAACTGATGCATACGTACAGATGCCAACCACCCAATGGCGTGATCTGTAGAGACCTACACTGCTACAGTTTGTAGTCCGTACCTGCACATGAATTTTTCTCTACGAGTACCCTCGTGCAGCACTGTGGTGGTACTCATGTCGTGCAGAGTATTCTGCAGCACTCGCGAGAGAGATAACTTTACAAAGTGCATAACATTTACGGAAAAAATGCCGCGGTGTCCCGATCTTGTCGATCGCAGGCGAGGAAATTTAGTTGCCTTGTAGGAGTTCTTTTTTCTTTCGCTGTTGTTATCCAGCCGAGAAGTGTGTTGCTAGCTGACACCGTTTAAGACAGGCTTTCCACAAAGGCGGCGGGAAAGATGCCTTCCCTTGAGGTTGACCCAAGCAGCCTCCCTTGCCACCAGTCATCGTTCACCTTGCAGGTCACCTGTACTTTGTCTCCAGGGCGCAGAGTGAGCTTCATCTGCATGCTGGGCTTCGAATGGAAATGCTGCTCGGTAGATGTCCACACTCTGTTGATGCAAAACATGTGACATACTGTTTTGTAACGTGGTCACCGAGCACAAGTAACAACAGAGGAAGCAGCGGGATGTTTGATATTTTTATCGATGGACGGGGACGACCCACTAAAATGGTTTCATACTTGGAGATATTGCAGTTTGGCAATGACCTAAAGTCCTCAACAAAACAAAACTCTCCACAGTTGTTCAGTCGCTATAGCGCAGCCCTGTTAAGCTTGCTCAAAGGCTTGATTACGTGTGAAGTGGCCACATTTTGATGAAGCAAAGCGAGCAGAGATGGTCAACACAGATTTGAATTCTCACTATGTCATACATCGTGATCATGTCATCATTTTGGTGCACGATTTGCCACAATTAATAATCTTGGTTAATGAATAGGACATGACATAAATTAGGCGTTCTTTGCTTTTGCCCTTTCCATCTTACACTTGTGCAAGCCACACAGCATGCGTTTCCGTGTGAGGCCTTGTAGCATGTATACTTGAATTTGTATGTTTCACGAAAGAAGGCGCTCGTATCAAAATTTACACATTTCATTACATAGCACTGCTAGAACAAAATACCGTATTTACTCGCGTAACCCTGGCACTCGCATAATTCTCGCACCCCCCCGCATCGCCTAACAAAAATACGATTTTTTTTTCCTCTAGTAATTATCGCACCCTCAAAAACTGCCGCAAAATTATCGTCTGCTCGTCCCAGTCGCTGATGATAATAGCGAGCGCCATCTCTTAAGCATCAAGCGTACAATTATTGCACAGAAATTCAATGCAATCCAAGCCAAGCCGAAGTGGCAAGTGTGCGTTGAGGCATGTTTTGTATGTTGCGTTGGTAATCTTGTCACGTTATGTGGCGATACTGAAGCTACACGGCTGCTTTTAGGTTTAAAGTGATAGATCATGCACTAAAGAACGGCAACAGGGCTGCTGGTAGGGCCTTCGGAGTCTAGGAGTTTTGTTTTCGCTACTGGTGTTGGCAGCTGAAAGCCACCAAGACACGTTGGGCCTGCCGTGTGCCTAAAACTGGAATTGATGGTAAACTTTATTTCTTCAGTAGGAAACTGCGGACGATTCTGTTAAATAGCCATCAGCCCAATACTGACGCCCTACACTTACCTTTTGAGGGCTCCTGTTGAGCGACGAATGCTACCGTTATGCCCGCAAGGCCCACAAGCTTTGCGTATGATATTCTAATTCTCGACTATTTGCTTGCACTTTTTGTGTCTCAAGTAAACCTTGCCTTGTGTTGAACCTGTGCTTTTATTGTTGAGGTAAGTTTTAATTAGTACTTCGCAAAGCTTGCTGTTAGTTGCTGGTGTGAGAATCCCGATTTGCAGCCACTTCGTTTTCTTTTTCGCTCTGTATGTTTTCATGAAAAGTTTTCTCCCGCGTAATTCTCGCACCCCCCAACTTTGCATTCGTTTTCCACCAAAAAAAGTGCAGAGATTATGCGAGGAAATATGATACACCAATGTGTACAAGCATCTATCTGTCTGCAAGTACATTGCCTCATACTACCCTTGACTGGTTTCAAAATATTGTACTATTCACATTATTCTTGTTTATAATGTTTCTTTGCAACACGTCAAGAAATCGTGGTACAATCTATGAGCAGACTGTGTTCGAATGCACTTGATAATAACAAACCCAGGATATAGTGAAATTGGTTTCAAAGTAAATAAAGAATACTCTAGCAATAGACAGAGCTAAGAATATATACTTTATAATGAATTTTCGAATATGGCAAACTTATTTTCGTGTAGGATGCACTTTGTTACAATGAGGTTGGGTGTAGTACTTTGGCAATGCTACGTACTAAGCTACCCGTAAACTTTTTCTTCCTGGAAAGACCACACTTTTCTCAATGGTTCTCCTGCTACTGCAGGTGTTCTCATTTGCTTTTGAATTTACGAATGCACCCTGATGTCACAGTGAAAATTAAACATGCCTATTTCAAGTAGAGGTTGATAATAGCCCACACACAAACATACAATTACTTGCAAGGCATCTGTTCGACTGGGCATTGGGTATGCAGACGTTTTATGTCACTTCAAGGGGAGAGAGCATGTGGCAAGTGCACCGCCTCTCGTATTGCATGCCTTGTGTGCTATCTGAAGCACCCTGGAAGACTTCACAAGTACACACTATCCACAGGTGATTAAGGCGAATGTAGCCACCAATATTTTCGCACCAAACCAGGAAACTCATCAAGATGAGGAATGGTAAAGTACCTTCGTGGAGGTGTTCTTCGATATTGGTTGCACAAAGGAAGCCGGAAACTGCCCTCTCTTGCCTTTATGCTCTCCGCACAGCCAATCCTTGTTGATTCGAGAAAGTACAATAACCGTGTCGCCTTCCTGCAAACGGGATCGCGTTCACTTTGCAACTGCTCTAGAGGGCCAGCAGCAGATGCGGGTAAAGGCAATACGCACCGAGAATCCCAGGTCGCCGTCTTGCTCTGCATTAAAGCTGTACAACGCGATTGCCGGGCACCCTAGGGAAATAGAGGAATGTCAAAAACACTACCACCACTTACGGGCAGTTTCAAATTGAAAAGCTAAGGATGCTTCAAGAGGTCCCCACACTGTCTACGATCTATAAATGCTGCCGTGTGAGACAAACACTGAGCTGCAGCATACAGCAGCTAATTAAAAAAAAGGTCTTTAATTTAGCATGAACAGATGTCCTGCCTCTTGAAAATTTACAAACCCACCACCTTTATGTTCCCACCAGAAAAAATTCCAGCCATGAGGCACGTCCACAATGCCAGCAACCAAGGTGGGACATGCATCCATACCCTCACACTAAGGTTGTCATCAACCACCCATTGTGCTTGGGGACAAAATTTATCCTGTGGAAAGCAGACACTGCTACGAACCGTTCAGCCTATCTTGCAGTCTATCTTGCAAGGATAGTTCAGAAGCAGTGTGCATAATGGCTATTTTCTCAGCTGCCCTCTTACCATACAGAGCCCTATCCTTTTTGTCATATTGACACGTGCGGTTCTTTTGGTTTACGAAGGAAGACGCTATCACTTTCTGTTAAGCGCAACGCAGGCCGCGTTTATCTTGTATGCCACTTTGGAACGCGTTACGACGCGTGTATAAAAAGCCGGCGCAGTGCGCCACTGGGGGTCTTTTTTTTTTTTTCGTTTTTTTCAACTTTTTATTCAATCTAAGAACACCAGCTTATGCTTTAGCTGACGATGACACACTGCGGATTACACACTGATAAGAGTAAAATTACATTGCCTTTAACAACTGCAATTACTAACAGAAAGAGCAAAAAAACTGATTAAGTTTCATATATCACATGCGTACATTTGCACTACAGTACATTTCTTGTAGTCCGTATCTGGAACTACAACCAACCGATTTAAATACCAAAACGATGGTCAAAACTTATGCAATATTTGTCATGCACCTTATTCATGTTACAAATTTCACGTGGCAATACACTTTCTACAGATTTTCTTTGCAAGCTCTTAAATTTGGATTTTTACTTTTGTCGGCATTGGCACAATACACAGCAATATTCGCATGTCGCGTTTCTTCACAACTTATCACAGTCACAGCTTTGGTATCACCCGTGTACGCTATAAGCATCGTTAGGTTGGTGAGATCAAACGTAGGCGAGCGCAGACCTGAACGTTCATTCAGGATGTTCTAAATTAGCTGACTTCTTGAATTCTAAAACATTATTTAAAGTCTGCGTCTGATCAAGAAAGACTGGAAGCAAGATACTACCAAGAACGTGCAAAAGCACTTGAATAAAATCGAAAGGAATGTGAAGCTACTGTACTAAAATCAAATTTACGTCACACTTGTGTGCTGTTTGTTTTGGAACACCAACATTAGTATCAGCGGGTAACTTACGGCGTTTAACGTTTAAGTTTGGCGCATTAATCCAGGATGCACTGCATTATAGTCCCTGTTGGTTCGGACACTTCACTTGATTACACCTACTCTGATACGCCCAAGGTTGGGACAGCACGAAATACAGCAGCATGAATATGCGACGTCGCGATCGGTGATTTCGGCGGGATATTAAAATGTGAAATTTTCGTAAAAAAAAAAAAAAGACCCCCAGTGGCGCACTGCGCCGGCTTTTTATACACGCGTCGTAACGCGTTCCAAAGTGGCATACAAGATAAACGCGGCCTGCGTTGCGCTTAACAGAAAGTGATAGCGTCTTCCTTCGTAAACCAAAAGAACCGCACGTGTCAATATGGTGCCACCACAAGCCAGTGCTGTGCTCCAGTCTTCTAATACAGTCTACGCTCGTTATAACGAACCAGCACACATCAGGCTTACCCTTACAAAGAACCATTATTCAGCCTAAATTTAGCCTCTGTATTAAATTATTAGAGAGATTAGGGTGTCGGGAATGAAATGTCTTTCGTTTCGTTTTTAGTTTTGTTTCACTGCAGAAAGTTCCGTTCTGTTACTGTTCCGAAACGGAAAAAAATTAAAAATGTTTCGTAACGGTTCATAATATTATTAATTTGCATGAAACATTTGATGTTAAAATAGTAAGGATGAATATGTATTGAATTTGTCGCACAGTGCTTCGTTTAAATATGAAAGTGGGGCAGGGGTAGGACATTTTATTCTCGCATTTTTAAGAGGAGCGTCACTAACTGCACCCTGCACCTCGAATTCCTACGCATCAGAACTACCAGTGCCCTTCCAGGTCGCCGTACACTTTGTAAGAAGTGCATTTCTCAAAAGTGAAAGCGAATTTTTGAACAAGCTCAATGCTTTGTGTTAAGAGAGTGAGCACAATCTCGGCAGCGTCCAGTCATAGAACTTACCCTTAATACGCGAGAGCACTGTTAAAACAAACCTCTGTACCGAGAATTCCCACCCCCTGCTGGCCTGACTCACAGTTGCACTAAAGCTCACTTGTCGGAATCACTGGTTACCACTGCTTTCGTTTTTTCGTACATTCAAACACATCTTTACTTTGGAATTCCTGCCTGAGATAAACGCTAGTCCTGTACTCTGAGATAGGCAATATTGCTCATGTTGCATGACCTCAGTTATTTGGGATAGCTGCATGACCTCGGTTATTTCTGAGAGCCAAGTTTCCATGCGAACTAAAAAACGATTGAAAAAATTCCATTTTCACTCCAGAACAAAATAATAGATAACATATCAGTTATCGTACTTACGTATTCGAATTTAGGCCGATAGTTTTTTTTTTTTTTCGGATTTCTTTGCATCAAACTCCGGGGCCACCTTAGGTTCGATATTGATTGATATGTGGGGTTTAACGTCCCAAAACCACCATATGATTATGAGAGACGCCGTAGTGGAGGGCTCCGGAAATTTCGACCGGCCGACAATATGTCATTGTTGCCTGTATGTTTAAAACACGCGCCTCTTTCGATCATTTCTTTTGCTAGGCATATGCAGCCACAATATGGGAATACGTGAAGTTTATTGCTTGCGCTTTATAGTCTCTCAGATTTATTTTTTGTTTAATTCTTTACTACAGTGGTGCTAAGTTTCATATTTCGGCCAGTTCCCGCCACGTGAAGCACCCGCAGAACTGACAGCTTTCTGATTTAGAACCTTTCAAAAGGTGACCAATTTTTTACTCTCTCCTTTACTGCTTCCTGGTACGCGATTGCACCCGTTTTTGTGTCGGCGGTGATTGACACGAACTATGCTTAGTGGTAAGTGGAAGAATTATCATAGGTTTTGAGGCTTTGAACTTGTTTGCACTTTAAGGACACACTGACAACTGCAGTTTTCTTCAGTGTGCCCGCCCATGCAGTTTGCTTTTGCTATGGAGATGCATACCAGTTTTCCAGCCCCAAATGAGTGTACGACGATTAATCTGGACCATCAATGCACGGCCGGGTCAGAATCTGATTAAGTAAATGTCAGCCCGTCATACGAGATTCACTTACGAGTCAAATCTCAGATGCTTATGATTGAGAGACATCGCATGTGTGGCAAGAGCTATGCTGACCGGATCAAAAGTGGCTTTTCTGCCCCTGTGTTTCCACTTAATGCCACTTTGTACGCTCACTAAAGTGCTTATTTGGGCCGGTTGGTACATGATTCACGAAGTGAAAAAAGCACGTAACACAGGACAGTGACAGAGACGGACAGTCAGGCTCAGTAACTGTCCTGTGTTACGCACTGTTTTTCACTTCCTTTTGTACCCTCAACTTTGTACGTCTGAACTGTGCAGAAGTTTATTTCAACACAATTTTTGAAGAGTTGTACAGCTTTTTTTTTTATCTTTCTATTACTCATGAATGATCTATGTGCATACAATATAACACAAATGATTTTTGTCACTTTAATGTCCCCCCAAAAATTTTGGCCAATTTTTTTCTTAAATAGGTTCATTTGAATAATTTAATTTGTCATTAGAATATTTTAGGGATGCATCTCGTGATAAAAAGTCGACCCTGAATGGGTTAATAACTCAATTCAACACCTTAGATTCATTTTGCCAAAGAGCACCGATACAAGCAAATGAGAGAGGTAAAGCAACCTTTCATGGATGCATTGAGTGCAAGATATTTTGCACTGTATGAACAGTATCAGCCTGTACTAGCGAGAAACAAGACTTGCCAGCTGGCTGGACTTCAGGCTCCAGGAATGCGAGGGGGAAACGACCCCTTCTTCCATGGATCTCACCGAGAGCCCAATCGGTGTCCAAGACACCGAGCAGGCGCACCATGTCTCCTTGTCGAAGGCTCAGCTCCTGGCTGGACTCTGCCTCAAAGTCGTACAAAGCTCGACGGTACGTCACCGAAGCACCCTGCAGAAACACCAAAAGCGGAAAAAAAGTATCGCAGCAAGTTTCGTGAGAACAGCAGTTCAATGCCAAAACCAAACAGACTGTCCATACATAAAGTTGTGAAGAATCACTGAAATGAATAATAGAAAATTAATAATAATAATTTATTTACGTCTCAAAACCACCACATGATTTTGAGAGACGCCGTAGTGTAGGGTTCCGTTCCAAAAATTTTGACTATCTGGTGTTCATTACCGTGCACTGACACAGTACACGGGCCTATAGTATTTCAGATCAGCAGCCGAGCACTGTAGCCACTGCTCCACCAAGGCATACTAATAGAAAATTGAATTCTTCGTTCAACAACAGAAGGCTCTGGTTGCAACAGAAGGAATCTGAGATGCTGAAGCTCCCTTTTGCTGAATAATTAAAGCTTGACTCGTCACTTTCAAGTTCATGTTTGCTTTCACATTTCACGGCTTCAATAAGATGCTCGTACAAATGTGGGGCTTTGCCGTCCAAATGCATGGCTGAGAAAACTAAAGCTGCGCAGCATTCTTCAGTGGCAAGCAGTGCTTTTTACAAAGGGATTTGATGATATTAAAAGGCAACAATGTCTCGTGGAAGGGTTATAGACCTTCATCTTACGTGACTGAACTTGCTGTCCTTGGCGGACAGTGTATGGTCTCGCACCAATGGAAGCGGCATCTGCACTACCAGACAGTGACGACGCCTACCATCGAGCAGTTAAAAAAAAAAGGTTACACCTTTAAAGTTCTTACACTATCTAACTTGAATAACTAACTAGTAGCCCTCTGTTTCACGCTGACCGTGTTACAGGTCTGTCCAAGTCATCATATCTGAGAACGCATACATCTACACTTAAGCCTACATTTTCCGTGGGAGTCCTCCTCGGCAGAACCAGTACGTCCAAGCACCTCTTCGGTACCAGGCCTTCCTCGTTGCCACAGCGACACCTGTACCAGTCAGCCCCTTCTTCAGATAGGAGCGCAACGAGGTCATGCACCTGCACAAAGAGCAGAGAGCAGTTATTCAAATGAATGCAGGCTTCAAAGCAACAGTAACTAATCATATAAGAAAACAAATAATGATTATTGGTGTTTTATGCCCCAAAACCATGATATATGAAAGACGGCATAGTAAAAGGCTCTGAAAATTTTGACTACCTGGGACGTATTTAACATGCACCTACTTCTATGCACATGTGCCTCTCGCTTTTCTGCCTCCATTCAATGACGGGATTCAATCCCACGACCTTCGGGTCGATGCCAAGCACCAGAACTTACAAGCCCACTATGGCAGTTATAAAAAAACAAATCAGCATATGAAATTCGCAATGTAGTTCCTCACCAATATCATGCTTTGTCAAAAAAAAAAAGTTTTAAAACTATGTTAATGAGAACTATAAGAAAATACAACGAAAGTTTTTGGGGACGTTACCGGTAGTAATTATGGCACAAATGTGAAGACATAAAAATGGATAAAAAGACAGTTTGCTTCTAGCAGAGGACCGAACCTGCAACCTCCGATAACGCGTTCGATGCTCTACGATTGAGCCAAGGCGGTGGCCGCCCTCTCACAAGCCTCATCGGGTACATCTGTGCATTCAAACTCAGCTGAGTGAAGGAAACATTGTGGCGAGGTAAAAAGGGAAAAAGTAAACGCCGTACTCCATATTAGATGCAAAGCAGCTCCTGGCGGAGTTCAATCCGGTGTGTGTGCCCACCCTTACTGCACCATGTGCAACAGCTGGGCCAAGCGCTGCCAGAATGTGCTCATGCGCCAGGCGTTTTGGCCTATGCAAGGGGTTGGGCAAGACGCTGTGGCCTTTCCCCCTTACACTCTTCAGCAATCATGTGATGGCGTCGGGGAACGAGATTCTGCAGACGTGCGATGTGAACCTACTGCGTTTTATCCTAGTCAGGACGCGCTGGCACACGCTAGCACGTTCGCGCCTGCGTAGTGGCTGTGTAAGAGCTGCAGTGTGCACCTGACCGTGTCGCTTCGCATCGCCTCATGATCTCCTTGAGCGGGAGATGGTGTAACTTTTTTCGTTACGCTTAGATCACTTTCGAAAAATTTCAGCAGGAGCCTTCTCAACTGCACATGGAACATACACTTGCCTTTAGCGAGAGCTGCCCAGGCGCAGATGCTTGGTAATCTTGCCTTGCTACAGCTGCTCCTGAAAGGTCCTGCGCAAAAGGAATGGAAGAGTGAACATGCGTAATGAAAAAAAAAAAGGGTGGGGCAGGAGGGCTTCTGCAACATTTCTAAAAAAAGATGTAGAAACAATTCTAGAACATAAGGACATGTGGTGGGCTCTATAACTCTCTTAAAGACTCATTTTCTCAAACTACAGCATGTAAAGCATTTGGGTTAATTTCATCTTGTTTGCCAGCATATCTTCTAGCAAAAGTTATAACTGTATTTCAAGTGTTAAGATTTAAACAAATTTGGTCACTATTCGTTAAATATACCTACTGAAAAAAAAGCTATTCCACATACGTACACCATTCTAGCTCAGTAACATTGTATTGATGCTTAGGGCATTGGTTAATTATAAGCCTTCTGTCTTTTCAAGTTGCTAAGATGATGGGGCAAATGTAACAAATAAAGTGGTTGCTAGATACTGAGAGAGAACAGCATCTTGACTGCACCTATTTCAATCGTTAGTATGCAAACGATGAATTCAATTTCAAATTTCAACCCTCTGTTATTATCACGCTTGTAGTTGTCATGACCTGTACAAATGGTTTTCGCTTGCTGAAACAGTGTAGCAGGGTAAAGGACGTCTGTGCGAATGTGGAGGCACTGAGTAATATTGTAAGTACTGGCTTGGTGTGTAGACTGCCTGTATAAAGTCAGACTGGTATTCCCCATTTGACGAGAACATCAAGAAATGTTAGATAACCACTGATTGCCTGCTTGACAGCAAACTGAATCACCTTTTCAATGTTGTTCAGATGAGCTGCGAAATCAGTGAAGACATCCCGGTGAACTATGCAGAAATAATTACATACCAGAAAAAGACCTCTGGTGGAACGAAGCATGTGCCCAGTGCTCCATGTCTTCCATAACAAGATTGGCAGCAGAAACAAACATGGAGACAGAGGCAATCATAGCAGTACCATGTGCTTGCAGGTACAATTTCTTTTCGAAGATGAATTAAGCACTTGATAAACAGAACCTAAGTCTGGACCATCAACTGGAGACCTCTCGGGCCATGTCCCATCAGACTCAAAGGCAGTGGTGCAAACGTTAGCAGCCAGCCATGCTGGAATGCTTGCATATAAAGACTCAACATTAAATAAAACTATGACATCATGGGCAGGAACAACGTGCCATACCTTTTCAATAAAGAAATGTAATATCGCACATGTGCGTGCAGCTTTTTACACAAGTGGCAAAATAATGCGGTGTAAGAAACCAGATAGCTTGAGTGGAAGCAAGCGGGTGCGGTCGATGATGGGCCTTGTAGGTACACCTGTTTGGGGCATCATTTTGCAATCACTAGCCAACACAAAGTGTTTCTGCCCAATTTTGTTTGGTGAAGTAGCAATCAAGTGCTCCCCTGACATATTTTCCTAAGCTCTGCCAGAGTTTCTGCTGTTCTTGCTGTGCTCGAAAGTTACGCCATTGTGTTGTAAAACAATGCCTCTATCTTTGGCCATTATCACGCCGTGCTTTAACACTTGAGTGACCCCAAAACCCGGTTTCCTCCATCGAAGGCAATCTCAGGGGAAACAGTGCAAGTAATCGGTAGTATGGTCAAAGCTTATCGCCATCGGTTTTGTAAAGCAGTTCTTTTCTACCTACAACAGTGTGCACAAGGACTCAAAACTAGAGGAAAATCTTCCCCCAATAAAGGAAACTTTCATGTCTGTGTTAATAAGAAAAGTCTTTCAAGGTTGAGAAAAATATTGTAGGTTGGATATTTTTTTACGAAGACATCATATAATTTTAACAGCTTCGGCTACATTTGCACCATCTCCTCCAGCTGTCTGACAACACTGGAGCACTTAGGTAAAATTTTTTTACAAGAGTGTAAGATTAGGCATCGATGTACATGTAGTACATTCTAACAGAGAAGAACACTGCACCACTACAAATTGATCATAACTAATAAAACTTCATGAAATACTTTACCTGAAATGGTACACTGTGTGCTGCATTATGCAGTTCGAAAGTTTTAGCTTATTTCACAGTTTTTGATTAGACTCAATTTTATAAATTTGGTGGTTCTTTGCCAATTTCCGAGATTGAAAATACGTGAAATTGTTAGATGCATTCATTTGATCTTGGTTTGATACACATGCACTGAAACTCTGATGCTTTGGTCCCTACACAAATCAGCTACCATATGAGCAGCAAATAGCAAGCTTCCAGTAATGTCACCAAGAATGAAACTACATCTCTGTCACACTACAACGTCCCTGCAAATGCTGACCAGACCACAGACGTCGTGCGGTGTTTACACCCACTTTCTTACCTATGCCATTTTAACAAGGTTCAGCCCTTCACAAGCTTGTAAGGAAAACAGCAGTTAACCACTCTTTGCTTTCACTCACCTGTTGCGCGCTATCCTCTTCAAGAGGTGGTGCTGGCGGTGGGTGCATTGGCGGAGGTGGCGACCACTCCTCCTCTGTAGGTGACCTACAGAAAAGAAAGCCTAACCTTGGTAACCACCACATGCAACATCTGGAACTTAGTCACTTCGCTCACTTTTTCTTGATTTTTCTTCCAACAGCGACAGAGATATTGAGCTGACCACTACTGATTTGTCTCATGTGCACTGCTTCTCGAATTATTGTAGATAAAGATTAACCTTGATACTGTAAAAGCAGTGCGGCACCCGAGATAAGCGAGTCAGGGTGTCGACACAAAATTTCGCCGCTTACATAGCCTACGAGACTAATTCTCGGTGAACATGTGTATATCATCTACCAAATCTGAACAGTCAACAAAGTTTAGGAGGTAATTTACATAAATTTCAAAGTTCGCAAGCCCAACCTAGCACTATACGTTGCACCTCCCAACATTGACATCATACAAAGCAACCTGAAGCTGACACCCAAATACTTCTGCGACCTCACCACTGTGGCCGAGCTTTGAGATACCCACCTAAATCCTGTCATTATCACAGTCACCACTGCACTTATGTTGCGCTTGTGTCAGCGGGCTATTATTTGACGGCTGCTTGCAAGTTCGTGATCATGGAAAACGTGAGAAAGCCTAAAAAAATCCTTTGCTACCAGGTGACAATGATGGCAATGACACAGCGCTGCGCATGCCACACGCATATGACCATGCAGGCAGCGCAAAAGTGCATCGCAGTTGTGTGCCGTTTCATATGCTAGACGACATTGATTAGTTGCACATGGTGGCTTGTCGTTCTCGAAATTCTTTAAAACTGAAACCGAGGCTGGCTGGTAATAAAGAGACTCTAATTATTTATTTGTCAGGTGCTGCAGGAAAGCGATGTACAAGGTGATGACTAATATGCCTCCAGTAGCATAACGTAGCAAAAAAAAAAAAACAACACACCAAAATTTTTGCGTGAGTACCGATTCATGGCTGAGTTTTTTCAAACTATCTTGATGACAAGGAAACTGACTACTCCAACTATGTCACATGAAACAGTCGACTGTATTTGCAGCAGAATGTTCGGTGTTCAATGTTACCTTATTAATTGAGCACAATTAGTGCACATGCATTTACACTTTACCAAAGTCCTTCCAAGAGCCTTACTTCCTCTCTGTTCCGTTTCATGTAAGCAGTTCATCCTGCTGCATGCAATGAGCACGAGGAGTTTGTGCTATCTGGGCAAATACAGAGACCTCACTGCACAGGACTGTGGCTAAGCCTTTAGCCTTCGCATGCTCACCACTAAAGATTCCTCCCCCCCCCCCCTTGCACAAAAAAGGGGCACCCGGAAACACCCCAGCTAGGTGGCACATTGTTGCAGAGGAACCCCGATTATACTGAGGGACCACGAAAAACTGCCATATTATAGGAAAGCTATGATTATAGGCAGGGACACTCAGCCTTGAGCAGAAAACAGGTACAGACTATCTGAATAAGCCCAAGGCACGACCTTGTGCCTCTGCCAAAGAAGGTAAACTAAATTATTCTTGCCAGTGGCAGCATTACTTCGTTGAAGGAGGTGCGAGTGAATCTGTATTCACAATATAAAAAAAAAAAATCAAATCCAACGCGCATCTTTCTACTAATAAAATAGGTAAGAAAATTGCCTGTGCATGAAAACAAAACCGAAACCGCGTTGCCAACAGCCTTCCATCAGAAGAGTCAGACACAATGTGATCGCTATCACAGAAGAGCGACGGACCACGAGTTTGCATAGGATGCCTTCATGCGTGACAGAGCTGTGCGCGTTGCAATTCGTTTCCTTGTGAAGTGCAACTAGTTGTGTCCCGCAGTGATAACGAACGCTAACGTCAAGTGAAAGTAATTTTGCACGGTGAAAACAGCAGCATCACGCCCTTATGCGTGCGCAAGCCTGTGATTGCGAGTGCGACAAAGGCGGGAGATCAGCCGTATGTCGACCAGGAAATGTTTCCATGGACCGAAAACGTGAAAATATCACCTTTTCGGCTGGCTGAAGCTACTCTGGGTGGATAGAGCTTGGCTAGGTAACAGCCCTGAACACGTACACATGCAATTGAGGCGCATGTACAAGTGCATGAACTTCCAGGAGAATAAATTTATCATTCTAAGAAGACATCCTGTCTCACTTTCTACTCTTCCCATCCCCATCCTAGGGGAACACAAGTTCATATTTTGCACTGGTGAATATTTGGCTGACGTTTGATTCGATTGATTGATATGTGGGGTTTAACGTCTCAAAACCACCACATGATTATGAGAGACGTCATGGTGGAGGGCTCCAGAAATTTCGACCACCTGGGGTTCTTTAACGTGCACCCAAATCTGAGCACACGGGCCTACAACATTTCCGCCTTCATAGGAAATGCAGCCGTTGCAGCCGGGATTCGATCCCACGACCTGCGGGTCAGCAGCCGAGCGAGTATCTTAGCCACTAGACCACCGCAGCGGGGCAGACGTTTGATTCGAGCAAAGGTGTTTTTTTTTTCGGACACAATCTGAAAGTTGTCGCAAGATGTAGAGTCGGTGTAAAACTGCATCTTATAGTCAAGGTTTTCAATACACTATGTATATGGGGATTTTGTCGGGACCCGACTGATTCGCTGTAAAATGTGATTTGTTGCAAAACAAGGGGACGTATAATTAAAGTTACACTGTTTATCTTACACTTCAAATGGATAAGATGCAAAAGCAAACGACCGTGCAGACATTCAGAATGTTCACTGCATAATGTCACGTGCACAGGAATAAAAGTAAGCAAGGACAAGTACAGCACATCATTGCAGGGGATATTGCTTAAAAAGGTCATGGCATGGTCACTCAACAATTCACGGTTTTCGGCAAAAAACGAAGGTAGAGGGTCAAATATGCTTGCACATGTGTGAAAACTGCACTGTAATAGATTGTTTCAGTCCAAAATAATATGTAGAAGTCATCGGGTGTAAACTCCGCCCGTGGCCGACAACCGCCATTTTGTCATGGCGTGCTTGACGTTGCAAGCGGAAGGAGCAGTGTCCGTCGTCTGTTACCAAATAGCACTTCCCTAACGCGGTCAGTGTTGCGAGTGTTGCTAGCCGCGTGGTCCGCACGTGTCAGTGGGTTGCAAGTGTTGCGGTGTATTACTGGTGCAATCACCATATGTGGCGACGACATCGAATACGTTGCGTATTTTGACTGACTCTATCGCCAACAGCTGAAGCGATGAAGAAAGGGTCGAAGAAGGCGTGAACCAAGATTCCAATGACCCCCCCCATTGTGGCAGGCGTTGCAGATAGCTTTCCGCAATAATAAATAGCTTTAGTTCAAGCATGTCAGGTTGAAAATCCAGCTTGCGATACGAGGGTCTGTCGACGCTACATTCGCAAGCAAGTGTTACTTGATGCTAATGAATAAGTGTTCATAACAATGCTCAGTGTTGGGAACGGTTTTTTTATCGGTTGTTGCGAGCGGCATATGTAAACGTAAGCTGATGAACGGCATGTCAGCTCGGCGCTAGGGTTACTCACGATGTATATTTAGGCAGAATCTTTGCTTGAACTAGGTCGATTGCATTCACTTCCAGTAAAAAAAATAGCAAATGTGACGCTCAACTGTGGCACTGCCAGTGAGGAGTTTCAATAAATATTGTTACGAGTAACTTCTTTAATAATCTATTTAGAATGCCCAGAACTCGACGAGCAAGATGGCGCCAGTCCAGCATCAAACGAAAAATCACTTCGTCCTTCTGTTTCATGCAGCTGTGTTTAAAGGCTGTTATGTATCATAACCTCCGGCAGTAGAAGCACCTGTCCCGGTGCTAAATCTACGCAGATGATGTCGAAGGGGGGTAATAGGGCTTTAGCCGAGCCACGTGAACGGTGTCGCTCGGAGCTGTCGATGACATTGTTGTATCAATTGGAACGATCTCGTACGTGACGTCTGTCACTTGGCGAACGATACGGAATGGTCCAGTGCAGGGCGACAGAAGTTTTTCAGACAGTCCCACACGCCGAGTAGCCGACCAGAGGAGCTTGAGAGAACCCGGGGAAAAGTGCACGTCCCTATGGTGAGAATTGTAGAGTTGTTGTTGGTGCGTCTGCGAAAGCCTGTAGACTGGTTACGGGCGACTTGGAGCGTGTGGTCGGTGCGGGCAATGGCTTCCCCGGCATATTCAGTGGCTGCAGGTAGCAAAGTGTCTAAGGGTAGAGTTGGGTCCCGGCCATAAAGGAGATAGAAGGGCGAATAGCTGGCAGTGTTGTGACGAGATGAGTTGTAGGCGAACGTCGCATATGGCAAATGAATGTCCCAATCCTGGTGGTCTGGCGCAATGTATTTGGCAAGCATATCGGTTTGGGTCCTGTTGAGGCGCTCCGTGAGGCCATTTGACATGGGATGGTACGACGTAGTAAATTTGTGCTTGGTAGGGCAAGACCTCAGGATTTAATGAACGACAGCTGATAAGAACGTGCGGCCATAGTCGGTGAGAAGTTGGCGGAGAGCACCGTGCACTTATGTTGTACAGCAGAAAGTGCGCAACGTCGGTAGCGCAACTGGTCGGAAGTGCTCGTGCGATTGCGTACCGCGTCGCGTAGTCTGATTGCATCGCGTAGTCTGAGGCAACTGCGATTCATTTATTTCCGGATGTGGAGAGTGGAAAAGGGCCCAACAGGTCGAGACCAAATCGAAAGAAAGGTTCAGTGGGAACGTCGATCGGCTGAAGGTAGCCGGCCGGGAGGGCAGACGGCGTTTTGTGAAGCTGACAGGACTCACAAGCGGCGACATAGCGTCGAACAGAACGGGCAAGTCCAGGCCAAAAAAACCGACGTCGTACCCGATCGCATGTGCGAGAAACGCCCAAATGGCCTGTCATGGGAGCGTCATGAAGTTGATGCAGGACAGTGGAACGCAGGTGCGCTGGGATGACAGGAAGTAAGTCTGATCCGAAGGAATCAAGGTTATGGCGATATAGGATTCAGTCTTTGACCAAAAACATTTGTAGGGACGGGTTGCAAGGCGTTGACTCCGGTTTGTCAATGATGTCTCGTAAAGAA